AATGGAAAGGGGAGAGCACAGAGGTAATGGGGAAGCGTGTCACCAAGGTTGTTCTGCAGTGTGAGTCTAAGGAGACCGACAACGAGCAGGAGAACACCTGAGCCCAGGACAGCTGGAAGCCCCTTCAGGCAGTGTTGACGGCAGTGTGAACCCCAGAAAGAGCTGCTGGAGAAGAGCCCCAGGGCTTCAGCTTTGGATGCACAGGTCCACCCTGGATGCGGCAGGAGGGCTCCAGGGCTCCAGGGAAATCACACCTGACCTGACTCTCCCACCCTTCCATCTCCCACCCTAACTTCCTCCGTTAGCCAAATGAAGTCAAAAGCCGGAGAGCATGCACGCATGTGAGACATCCAAAGGTCAGTCTCCCTGGGGGGAAAGAGCAAGCATGGAGCCAGAGGGCCAGAAGGGACGGTGCATCTCTCGGCACCCATTCTCGTCTTCGATCAAGTGGAAATACGGCACCCAACACAGGAAACAGAATTTCACCACCTACTGTGTGTTTAAATGGGGTCGTGTTCCAACCTGAACACAAAAAGCACAGTATTCTTCACAGAAGAGGAGAAGGGAAGAAGAAAGGATGACAATTAATAGAAAGTCTATCTGTTGTACTGCTGCTTTTACAGCTGTTCACAAGCCCAGATTCCTTCTCCTCTACCCTTCACCCTTCACCCTCTGCCAGCACCGCAGTAGATCTTTCATCTGTTAAATGACTTAAATCCTCATTCCTGCAGAAACGGAAAGATTGATGGTGCTGCCTCTTTGGGGTTTATGCGATTTTCCATTAGCGAGACCATTGGCAAAGGGATATTACAAGATGATCCCATTAGCCCCCCTGGTCCCTTTACAGCCTACCTACCTAACCCCAGGGGGTAGCAGCAACACCATTCTTGGTCAGGATCAACCATCTCAGCCTTCTCCACCTTGCTGTCCCACAAAGAGCATTCCTTGAGAGTAGATTGGTTTGTTTGTTTGTTTGTTTGTTTGTTTGTTTGTTTGTTATTTGTGAGATAGAGTCTCGCTCTGTAGTTCAGGCTGGCATCAAACTTGCTGCAGTCCTCCTGTCTCAGCCTTCTGAGAGCTGGGATTAGAGGCATGCAATACCACACCCAGCCAAAAGTAGATTTTAAAAATAAATTCAGTGGCTATGGTCAGAGACAAGACCTTGGTCTTCAACTCTTAATATCATCTCACTCTCCTCTTCATATTTAAATGTATTCACTCTACTCTTAAACTCCTAACCTCCTTCCAGAACAAAATCAAGTCTCAGTCTGTACCTCAATTCCTGGGTAGAGCACTACATGCTAACGTATAATAAACTGTAGGTGAAAAATCAGAAATACTGAAGGACTCCTTCTCCTGTCAGTGAATACGACCCACACATAGCTCTTACTTCCCAGGCAGCCCACACTGAGTGTCACAATGGTGGTCACACACTGGCTTTCTGTGGCTGTGTTTCCACTAATTCCAATCTTTACCTTGCGCATAGACTCTCTCCTGGCCCGGCTTCTACTTTTCCCCTCCTAGATTTACTCCTCGCCAGCAGCTAGAGCCATCTTGATAAAATGAGCCACATCCACTCTTTCTGGTGTTCAACTCCCTCCAGTGGCTTCTCATCAGCTTTAGAACAAAACCCAGAGTCCTACTCTGGCCAGAATCCATCCACGTCTCCAGCTTTCCCCCGTCCTTCCAGCTCTACTCTCAATCTCTATGCTCTTTCTTGAATCCCCCGATTGCCCCATCTCAAGGTAAACCTCTTGCCATATCCCCAGGTAGTCATTCGGCTCTTGCTCTCACTCTGCTCAGAAGTCCCCTTCTCCAACACAGCCCCGGGTGTCCTTTGTTTCTTCACAGAGCTTCTCAGCATGTGACAGTGTTACACTTACAGCAGAACATCCGTTCCATGAGCCCAGGGGATTTGGATGGTACTTAAAGTTCTCACCAAGTAAGTATGCATGGGAAACTAAATGCATGACCAAAGCGGGTAAACAATGTGGGATACACACAATGAAGAAAAGTGAGCATAGTGATGGGATGCAATGCAGGGAGGAGTGTTGAGGGGGCAATTTTTTTTGTTTTGGTTTGGGTTTTTTTCTGGTACCGGGAATCGAACTCATGACCTTGAGCTTGCCAGGCAGGCGCTGTGCCACTGAGCTAAATCCCCAGCCCCTGAGGGGGCAATTTTGATAGGATGGTCAGGTAGGTCTTTCACAGGCAGGAACATGTAAGCAGGAATCTGAATGAAGGGAAGGAATGATCACAGAGGGCTGGAGGGAAGATTGCTCTGGACAGAGGGAGCAGCAGGTGCAAAGCCTCCTGGGCAGAAGCAAGACGGATGTGGGTCAGAACCAGCCAGGAGGCTGTGTGGCTGAAGCAGAGAGGACGGGATGAAGGTAGTAGGTGAAGAAGTTAGGAAGGAGGAAGGGGTCACGATGAGAGCTTTAGATTCCGTTCTCATTGCGAAAGGAAGCCGCTGGGGAAACAGGGACGTGCCCAATGTAATGTTCTTGGGTTGGTTGGTTGGTTTGCTTGTTTGCTTGTCTTTCATTTACTTGTGCTGTTGGGTTGAAAATAAACAGCAGGAGGATGTTTAGAAACCAATTAGGGCAGTTCAGGAGAGATACGAGTGGTTTAGGGAGGATTTAGCCTGTGAGAGAGTGAGAAAGTTCAGCCATTATTTTGGAGCTAAAGCAGAGGGGATTTCTGACATACTCAGTGTGCAGAGTTGGGGAGGAAGAAGCCAGGCTAACTCCAGCTGTTTGAAATTTACCTGGCATCCTAGGAAGGTTTGATAACTCTCCTAGAAAAGCGTTCCGATTTTGGAGATACATGTTCCTCCAATTATGACTCAGCTTGTGGAAGACTTGCAAAACCAAATACAATATGAAATTTTGCTTGAATCATTGATCTAGGACTCATTCACAGAGGAGAGGAGAAAGTCCTCAGTAGCTTGTGTCAGAAACAATTATAGTTCTAGCATGTCTTAAGGTACTCAGTGTTGGTATCAGCATTTGGCGATCAGACCCAGAAGCACCAACTCCACGTTGCCAAAGTGATCCACAGGAGAGCCCACAGGTTATACCTGTGCTCGTGTCTCCCCACCAGGCTTGACCGAATCCTGCCGGAGCTGGGCAACCCACTGGGGAGTGACCTGTGGAATAAACTCCTGGCTCCTCCTTCTTCAGAGAAGGAAAACTCTAGACAGTTCACCTGTGACGTCTGCCTACTGACTTTGACCTTCTATGAAAAGACCCATACAATCTCTTAGAGCCCTGTTCCCCAAAGTACAGCTTTTCAATGCAGGTATCATTTCTCCATTCTTCCAGATAGAACTAGGCCAACCGTTATCGTTACCTCTACTGGCTCATCTCTGTACCACTGTGCATATTTAAAAGATATACATCTTTCCTTCTTGTGTGTTTCACAATATGCCGCCGGTTTTCTGCTGTGAGACTTAGCTCTCAGTACAAAATTCCACTCACAGGAAGGACTCTTCAGTCGACTTCCTGTTCCTTTATTGCCTCGCTTACAGGAAAACTGAAGAGCTCCCTCCCTAATAACCTGCATCTACAACTAAAAAGTGAATCTGCCGCAGAATGACTACATGTATTTCTCCTCAGCAACATTGCACTCTTAATCTTCCTACAGCATGTTAATGCAGATAGGTTTTTATCAGTGTCTGGCCTTTTTTCTTTCAGAATTACATGCTGAGTCAACATAATAATTCTATACAGACAACATAGCAGAGAGCCTTGAAATCAGACCTGCCTCAACCTGCTTATAAAATGCTTCTTGGTGTATCTTTGATTCGGTTTTCTCATCTGTGAAAGGAGGACACAGTTCGTTCAGTTTTCTCTCACTGTAACAGGTACCTGGGATAATCCGCTCTTGGCTCACAATTTTGGAGGGTCTGGTCCGTGGTCAGTTGGCCCCTTTGCATTTAGGCCTGGGCACCACAGTATGTGATGGTGGCCGAGCAAAGCTGCTCACCTCATGTCTAGGATGTAAAAGACAGAGAGTGGAAGAGGCTAGGGTCTCACTGTCCCCTTCAGGGGCACACCCCAGTGATGACTGCTATAGCTTGTATCTAGACGCCCCTCCAAGGCTTCATGCAGTCATAGGTGGAGCTCTCCAGAGGTGGCTGGATCTAAGGTGTGTGGTGCTGGGGTTAAGGGTGTGTGATTACTAAGTTAGTCCACTGATTGGTTGGGCATTGAGGCCCCAACTGGGTGTGAGTGCTATCTGCCCTAAGAGCTTGTAGCCTGGGTAGACGACCAGGGAGAGAGAGAGGGCTGCTGTTGTCACTTTCCTCACACTCCACTGCTTTTCTGCCCTCTGCCTGCCGTGAACTGCTTCTCCTCTGCAGTGCCTCTCTGTTGTACCGCCCTGCCTTCGAGCCAGACACCTACAAGCCGAAACCTCTGCCAACTGTGAGCTACAATAAGCTTTTCCTCCTTAAGCTTTGGGTGTTGGGTATTTTGTCCCAGCAATGAGAAAAGCAACCATGACAGTGGTCTCCCACTAGACCCCACCTCCTAAAGGTCCACTGCCACCCAGTAGCATCATCCTTGAGACACAGCCCTGAACACCTGGGCCTTTGCGGGCCACTCCAGACCAAAGCTTCATCAGCGTGATACAGACAGGCACCTCATCTCCCAGAATCAAGCATCTGAAGTCATGAGAATGATTGTGAGATGATGATGACGGTGTTAATAATATTAAGGCAGAAAAGTCACAAAGCCAGAAGACTTCTGATACATATGTGTTTATTGAAGTCAAATAAACATTGTAACTCTATAATCATTGTCATAAATATCAATATTAGCCTTATACTCAAGTAACAATACCAAATAATGTCTCTATAAATAAATTCATCTTAATAAAATGACATAAATAAAATGCATACTTATAATAATAAATAAATTTATAAATACAAAATATTGACTATGGAAATGAAGCTATTTAGGATTTTGTATAAAGAAATGAGAAATAATCATTTTGGAAATGGACAATTTAAAAATAAATTATTTTCTGTTGTATGAAATACCAGTTACAATAAAATGTTATCAGTAAATCAGTAAATCTCTAAGCTTGGAAGGTTTATCTTCTGGTATTATGGACAAAGCAAAATTGGTTTTTTTTTTCATGTGAATTTCACCCACAAATTGGGTTGACTTCTTATTATTTTTAACAGGCAAGAGTGTTCATTCATTTCTAGCTTTACTTGAGTGGACGCAATAATTTTTCAGTTCCATAAACAGCAAATTCACCTCGCCAATTGCTTTGATCTCTCCACTCTCTCCAAGCTGTGAAAATTAGAACAAAAATGTATGTGAGCCTTTGTGCCCTGTCTTCTAAAAAGGAACAAGATAGAGGGAAGTGTCATGATTAAATGGCTGGAGACAGAAACCAAGTATTAGCCTTTTACAAAAGATTAATAATACCCATTTAGTAAGCTATAAGATAATTTGCCAAAGACCTTAAAATCAAGACTATCAGAAGTGAGAAGGCGTCACCAGGCATGGGTCTGTTACAGGTCACTTGATGAAGCTATTGCATGTTTACAATGTATGCATAGGCCAAAACATCACATTGTCACTCATAAATTATATAACTATTATTGTTCAGCTAAAAATAAATAAAATTTTATTGGAAGTGGAGGTAAAGTGAGGCAGAGAGATGCCCCGTTCCTAATCAGGCCAAACAGATGGGAGCTGTACCGGAGTCTGGGAATCCTGACTTTCCCCCGGTACGGCATGCCCCACCACATCACCACAGCTGTATATGAGCAGTTACTGAGGACAGCTCAGCTGAGACAGCCTTGAATCAAAACCACGCATTCACCTCTGCACTTGGGCTTTACCAAAATGTTCCTACTTTCTTAACAAAGGGGGGGCCCAAAAACAGATTTTAACTTTTGTGAGGAAAATAACAAATATGCCCTCTTTCGTTGCTCTAATGAGTAAATAGCCAGGTCCACCTCTTAATTTCCTTCTTTCTTCCTCCTCCCAAGGAGAGATGAGGGTCTCAAACTTAATGGGAGGAAAAACCCAAATTCAAATCCAAACCACCATGCTCTGAAATTCATCAGATCTTTCAAATTTGCTCTGAATTGTTCCAAGGACGTCCTATCATCATTGTCCTCCATATTTTATCCTCCTTTCTTGACCTGCTCTCCTCCATAGTACCTTTCCATACTTCTTTGGACTTGTCAAAAGATACTGTTTCATATCTCAAAGAGCCTCAAGACAGAAAATAATTTCACAGCGTGTCTTGCTTTACCGTCTGCCATACATGCTACTACAGCCTGTTCCCTGCTTTCACCTCTACTGACAGAGAATTAATACCTCCCATGAATGGCCCATTATTCCAGACAGCTCTGACCAATTGTTCCTCCTGTCTAACTTTCTCTGAATAGCATTCCTTGCTTACCTCTGTTTTTTGTTTGGTTGGTTTTTGAGGGGAGCTACAGGAAAAAGCAAAATTGCTCTTCCATGTGGCAACCCATTGTAAAAATGAAAGTTAACTCTCTCAAAATGGATTAAAGGCTAAAAAAAAAAAAAAAAAAAGCCTTGTTTTCCTACACAGATCTGATCTCCTAGGAGATTTTTCTCTTTCACACTTCACTTTTCTAAAGACAACAAAATAAGCTGACAGCAGAGATTTTTTAAAACGAGAAGTACAAAGCAGTTCTTATCTATAGCATGCTGGCATCTAGCTCTCTGTGTCTATGTAATAGCTCTGCAACAAGAGGATTGAGTTTCACAGTGAAAACCTACAAAGCCTTCAGCAGTCAAAGGAAAACGTAGCCGTATTCATTAAAATATGCTTAGGAAGACTCTTTTAAAATTTAAGAAAGAAAAGGGGGAATTGAGGGTAAGGGCATTAGTGACAATTCCGTCAAGCAGGGACAGCCTTCCTGTTCCTGAGTATTTAACTGCCCAGTTGGCGAGAAGCATCAGTTTCCCTGCTACCACTCGCTCCTCTAGTTGGAGGATGACTTATACTTGCTAATCTGAAGCTGCCGCTGTTGTACTTTTCCCCCATAGGCCCATAAGGATATTCTCCACAGAAAGGTATGCTAGCTCTCAGGAGATAAGTGCTCACCCGACACTGGCTGAGGGAGTGAAGAAGGAAGCATGATAGATAAGAAGGTGAAAAGGGGGAGAAAGAAAATAGAGTTTCCAATTCGGACTTCTATTTCACTATGATAAACATATGCCTAATATTTTCACTCTATCGAAAACTGTAGAAAAGAAATTATAGTTGTCTCCTTCTGCTTTTAAGATGAAATCAATAGCTATTAAGTACTTTATTATGAGAATCAAATATAAGTATCCATGATTCCACAAATTTGTCTTGTATGCAAGTCTAGCTTTTTTGTTATTATTCTGGGTTGATTTTTCCCAATTTTAAAAGATCAAATTAATGCCTTTATAAATCACTTCAAATAAATTTTTACCCAGGCACTTTTCTGCTTTTAAGCAAGTACTTTTTCAGATTATAGGGGACGACAGGATCTGAAATTTCCCTAAGAGGGGCTGGGGATTTAGCTCAGCGGCAAAAGCGCCTGCCTCGCAAGCGCAAGGTCGTGAGTTCGGTTCCCGGTACCGGAGAAAAACAAAACAAAAAAAAAATTTCCCTAAGAATTAATAATTCCTAACTAACGCAGATGGCTGGGTAAGGGCTGACCTGGGAATCAGGGCACATGCGTCCCAGCCCTGGCTCTGCCACCAGCCCGCATCCCCCAGAACATAGGATAATGAGACTGGATGACCTAATTCCCTGCTGGTGCTAGGATTTCATGATTTGCAAAAAAAAAAAAAAAAAATGTGTACTGGGAATTGAACTCAGGACCTTGGGCTTGCCAGGCAGGCACTGTGCCGCTGAGCTATCTCCCCAACCCTGATTTGCAAAATTTGGAAATTGATTCTTAGAGGTATACAGCTATATACATATGCACCTAACTAACCCATCTAATAAGAGTAGAGTCAAGTAAAACATCACAAAGTACAAAAAAAGAAAGAAGTCAATCCCCTACAGATTGGCTTATTGCTAATATTTATCAATATTACCTCTTTCACTGTGTCCTTCAGCTGCTGCACATTCCTCTGGATATGCCGGTCATCACCCCTGACATGCTACAAAATGAAAGCAAGAGTCACTCTTTTCGTTGTGCGGAAGCTTTACCGACCTCAGCCTCATCTGAGGCACATGACAATTCACCTGGAGTGGAAGCTTTCAGTAATTTTACCCACAATGACCTAGATTTCACCAGTGACCTACATTATCTTGGACAACAAAATCCAGACATCACAGGGAGCCTCTCTTCATCTCTGGGAAATCCAACTGAGGTTCAAGTCTATCGCCAGAATGAAATGGTGTATGCCAATTCTGGCAGAAGTAAAACCCTAACCTTACCTCATCAAACTGTGTGCTCAGAACAAGAAATGTCTGCAAAATGCAAAACATTTCATGCGGAAAGATCCCAACTACCAGGTCGCCTTCTGTGCCCACTCCACTCCAGCATGCTTCCTGGTTGTCAGTGTTCAGAGGCACCAAGTTCCCACACTCCCACGACGGGAAAGGGGAGGAGCCTTTGTCCCCCTACAGTGACTAGGCCTCCCCATTCCTGCCTTCTCTTCCACTTTCTGTAGCTGCCCCTCCCTCCAGCAAATTAGACTGAGTGGTCAACTTCCACCTCAAGGCATGCTTCGTTATGGCTCCCACTATCTTTTTCATTATATGCAAGCTCAGTTTTTTTCTTTCCTCAAACAAATGAGGCTTTTCTACACTGGTCTTCCAGACACCCGCCACCACCATAAACTCAAAACGTGACTCAACTAGAGCAAAAGCGAAGACTTGGCTACTCCAAGTCTCAATAAGAGTGTTCCTGAGGCCCTTATTACGGCCAGGCTAGGACAGAGGAGAAGGGAGGGCCAGGGAATGGGCTCTAACGGGAAGAAGGGAAGGCCACAGTGGATGGGCTGAAAGGAAGACTTACGCAGAGGCTGAGTTTGTTGCTGAGGTCAGCCAGGAAGGACGACACCTCCTGCATGTAGGGCTGGAATCTGTCTGACTGGGGAAGCAGTACTTCTTCAAGAGTGAAGTTCAGCACCTGCTTCATCAGATAGCAGCGATCTCTCACCTGCAGGTGGAAGGGAAGCAGCAGAGGTCGTATTGTGGGACACCCAGAAGGCCCTTCCACCATTCCAGCCTACCACCATCCTGCCCAGTGCAGTGATAGCCTACAGTCAACCAGTGCCCTGTTCGGAAAGTGATAGCTTACATGTACTCCTTGGAACAGCTGGGGCCCAATGAGACGGATATCTGTGTTGTTATCAGCAAAGCTGGCCTGGAAAAAGAGAACAAGACTAAGTGCCTGGACATGGAAGCAATAGAAGAACAGTCTATATGTGCCTTCTCCTCTTCCCAGAGCAACCCCAGAATAGGTAAAGACAGAATTCAGATGTGTGCATGAGTTTACAATACCGCACAGAGAGTAAAGGAAAAATTAACACTGTAATTTAATAGGCCCCTAAGTAGCTCCTCTGGATAAACTCAGTGTATGTATTCTGAAGGCAGAAATGGAAGAAAGGAACTCTAGTGAAAATGAGACCCTAGAGAGTCTTTAAGGAGATACAGAAAATTATCCACCTGTGGGCATAAATGATGGATTCCTGGAGAGCTTAGAATGCACCAAAGACAACTGTAAGAACTACTTAGCTCCCAAGTAGATAGGAGGAGAGAAAGAGAGATTGGACTGAGCACCTCGTTAGCGAGCCTGAAGGTGTAGTTGGTGATATAGGGTTTCTGGAAGTCATCGAGCCTGCAGTGGGAACTGACAGGCACAGCCGCTCCTCCCTGCAGCGACAGGGCAATAAGGAGGACACAGCTAGCGGCCAGAGCCCCCACCAGGGAAGCACCCACAGACTTCTGCAGCGCAGCCATGGCAGACGACTTGCAGTGAATGACCGGCAGCTGGGAAAGAGAACCTGGTGTCAGAGAACGAGAGACGAAGACAACATCAGTCAAGAAGTTTCACACCAAGCAGACCAAGTGCACCAGTTTGCTGAACGCTCACCTGCTCCGGTGATTCTGCTTGTGATGGGAGGTAGACGCTGCTGCTTTTATAGCCCTTGGGACATCACATTTTTTGTGCTGCAAAAAATATGACATCAGCAATTATCTAATTTCCAGTTCTGGCTTCTGAGAACTACCTAACCACCACCGGACCCACAAAACACCACCTTCTGTCTTTCCCACCTTGAGATGCGAGTGTTTCCCTACTACGTCACTATTAGGGCCCAGAAAGTGCCTTGACAAGTAAGTCCCAGAAATTTTCTATACCCTACATATTTTTCGAAGAAAACAACTGCTTTGCCTCAGTAGACTCCACATAGAGTGTATTATTCTTTGATCTTCTACAGTAACTGAGTAAGCACATTGGTCTCAGACTCATTTTCCTACCAGCTTTGTAGATTCTTATCTGTTTAGAAGTGACCAGAAATAAAGGACTCGTGTGACTCGGCCGCCACCCCCAAGTAAGCATTAGTGACCACCTGAAGCGCATTCCAACAGTTTAAATAATTTTATCTCACTTTTAAAAGTATGCTGAATCCCAAACTAGATCTATATTTTAAAAATAACAGTGTTGGCTGTTTCCTTCCCAGAGTCATAACAAGTGATCGTAGATGCAACTATAAAAATTTATTTAGGGAAAGACAACCAATGTCAGTTTAAGTTTAGAAATACTGATACTGAATAAACTAATCACCATTTTTCTTTTCATGTACTTTTAATTAAAGAATACCCTATATACAATAATTCATTTTGAAATTTTATCTACACTAATTTTAAGTAACATACAAATACCAAAACACTAGTTCCAAATAATTTCATAATAACATTTATTATATAGATGGACATCTAAAGAAGAGAATCTGAGAATATAGTGGTTGCATCTTGACTTTAAATTATTAAAAATATACTGAGTCCCAATTAATAACTAATGCTAGAACAAAAATCCTCCCAAGGATTGGGAGCAGACAGCAAGTGTAACTGTCAAAATGCTAGTGGCCATTGCGAGGGAAAGGAATGTGCATTCGTACAAATTAGTTTGACCAGATTTTTTTCCACACAACTGATTAAGATCTGGAAGATGGGATTCAAATCACTGTAGACTCTTGCGCATGTTAGAGATGACACAGACCTGAGAGGAGCCCCTAACCAAAGGTTCAGAACAGTATGCGGAGATGGAGCATTTGAGGAGACCTTAGGAGAAAGGGAAGGTGACAGAAAATAAAACTGTATGATCACATTGATTTATGGAATCAAAAAATGTGAAACTTACTGAAGCAGAGTGAGACGGTGGTTTCCAGCAACTGAGGCGGGAGCCTGGGGACATACTGGTCAGAGGATACAGAACTTCAGTGAGAGGGAAGAATTGTGTTCACGAAATCTGTAGTTAATAACAATATATTATATGTGCAAATTGCTCAAAGCATAAATGGTGTGTGCTCTCCACAAAAATATGTGAAGTAAGGTGGACGTTAATTTGCTTGATAGATAGAGATAGAGATAGATACTTGCACAACATATGTGTACATTTATTTTTCAATTAAAATAAAATAAAATGTATCTATGGGTGGTTTTTTTTTGGTTTTTTTTTTGGTTTTTCTCCGGTACCGGGAACCGAACTCACGACGTTGCGCTTGCCAGGCAGGCGCTTTGCCACTGAGCTAAATCCCCAGCCCCCCATTAATAAAATGTATCTAAAATAAAACAAATCCTTAGAACTGTTTGAAATGTTTGAAACATTTGCTTAAAGTTATTCTCGATCCCAAAAAAGATGAAGAAATGCTTTCTTATCTGATTTTCTCTTGTATGAAGTGTGGCAATTTCTGTCCCAATTATACAGAACTCTGTATAATAATATTAACACTAAATTTAAAATATTTTGTAGGGGCTGGGGATTTAGCTCAGCGGCAAAAGCGCCTGCCTGGCAAGCGCAAGGTCATGAGTTTAGTTCCCGGTATCGGAGAAAAATTAAAAAAAAAAAAAAAAATTGTGAATTAAATAGACTTTTGTTGGTTTGCCTGAGCAACTGCCAGCTTTGCTCCCATGGGAAAACACATTTTCTCTTCACGACCTTGTGCTTGCCAGGCAGGCGCTCGTGCTGCTGAGCTACATTCCCAGCCGGGAAACTCATTGTGACATGGCTGCATTACGGGTTTTTGAGGGAAGCCTCCGTGTCTCTCACACTGTAACTCCAGCACTGACAACAGTGGTGCGTGCCTAGGAAGGGTGCAATAGCAACATGGTGAACAAATAAATGAATGTGTGCGTTTAAATAATCTACTATCTCTGGATTCAGGGAGGTGATCTGGGGACTCCCTTCATAGCACTTCTAAAGTTGGGGTTTGACCTGCTCATACTTCACGGTTTCATCCATGAATAAATAACTGTGAAATAAAAATAAAATGCCAGAAAATTGCAAGTCAGTCTTTAATAGCAGCAATACGTCTCTCATCTTTTACATCCCCCAGTGGGATAACCATTAATAAGATAGTATTAATGGATCCAAGATCTTGAGTTTTCATGAGCCTGACTAAATCTCACTAAAATGAAGATCTCTGGAGCTAACTGTGGATTTCTGAACAGTTACAGCAAGAGTCTCAAAAATATTTGCTATTAGGAAAGAATATAAAGTATTGCTGCTCCTGTGAAAAGACATCTAGAGACGAGTGTGCTAAATAAATTCAGGGGAGAAAGGTCCTTTTTGTGACTTGTTTCCCTGTGACTGTTCAAGTCTCTTCCATAGCTCACCCAGATAAAGGGCCACCGCAGCCCCACCCTCCCAGACAGAGCCTTCGCTGACCTTCAAACAGGAGGCTGCCTTTGCTGAAAAGCACTGACTGATTCCTGGACCTGTAGATGCCTAGCGCCTTACTGAAAGCAAGATAAATCTTAGCATCTCTGTCTCACCTTTGTGGTGGTCTCCTTTATGATCTTAACCTGGGGCTGTATTCCTGCCCAGCTCTGCACATAGCCATGTTCACCACTTAAGGAACATCTTCCTAAAAACAAGCGACCCATAGTGAAACTAGCCCTAAATTTACCTCACCTTTCTCATTCCCCTACAAGAGTCAGGCCACCAAGATAAGAATAAATAACGTATTTTCAGGGTTTCCAGGGCTGCATTCAGCTGCCAGCTTTTGCATCATCCTCTTCCAGAAGCCCCAGTGTGGCACCTAGAACTCTCCAGTCATTGACCTAAAACCTCCGGGAAAAGCAGAACCTCGCAGACAGATCGCCTCACAATGGGACCACCCCTGCCTGAGCAGCACAGTTATCGCGAGATGGGAACTGAGGCTGCCCGAAAGCTGGAGCAGTCGTCTCACGATGGGAACAGACTTGCTCCTTCAAGTGACTAGAGCAGTAACACTTCCAGAGCCACCCGACACACAGCAGAGCTCCAATAATAATCAACAAGCCTACCCTCTGACCAGGACTGTGTAATAATGCGTATTTCTTAACCCACACCCCAATTCTTGCTCCATTTGAACCTACAGCTCAGACCCGTACCCCGGAAAACAGCTAAGGATACCTGACACCCAGCCGTCTTCCCAGTATGCCCATATTGGTTAAATTCCATTCCCACTTCACCGTTAGCTTTCCTTGGCTGGTCCACTTACAATCTTAGATAGATGCAAAATTTACCTGGTTAGAGCAAACATCACCAACGAAGGGTAAACGTTTGGTGTCTCCTTTACTACAGCACTCCTCACACCTGAAGATGAAGAATAAATATTTGTTTACTGAATGAATAAATTACTTCCTAATTCATTGTCTGGTGCTCAGAAACCCACAGATGGAATGCATGCTTTAAAACACAAATCTCTGTAGGAGAAAGATGGCTTTTCGCATCTAAAGTAACAAGGTGGACATTCATCATCCTGCTCGGCACAATATATACGGCCATTTTCCCATAGTAGTGTGTGTGCATGTGTGTGTGTGTGTGTGTGTGTGTGTGTGTGCGTGTGTGCATGTTCATGCATACATTTGTGCACATGTGTGTCCCATCTTCCTCAGCCTTTTTCCCTCCCCATCATAAACCTACCACTATCCCTACCCCTGCACAGGTCATCGCCACCCTATGCATGTGTTCAGTATGTATTTCTGAATACAAGTGCAATCTTTGTAAAACACAGAGTATCATTTATTGCATTTAAGTAACTGTACTTTATAGATAAAGATTCTCTTTCTTACATTTCTACTTAGCATTATGGTCTTGTTGCTGTGTGTAGGCGCTGGTTCTAGCTTGGCGTGCCAGAGAGGGACCCATTTTATACATTCATTTTCCTCGGGACAGGCCCCTAAACTGTTCCCGGGGGCTCACTAACCGGACAATGCCACGCAGCCTTATTCAAGTCCTTTTAATGGTATTTCTTGAAAATACTTTCAGAGTATTTACCCACAAGTAGATAACGTAGACTATAGGGATAAGGCTATTAATTTTTACTGAGTACTGCCAGATTGCTCTCTGGAAAGACACTGTTAATCTGCTCTCTTATGTAAATGAACAGAGCTCTCTCTGTTTGTTCACCCACAATTGGCATTTTACGGCTTTCACTTAGGCAGTCTTGGGAGGTTTAAAATGGTGTCTCACTATTGTTTTAACTTACATTTTTTTCATGTACTTGTAGCCACTTGGAGCTCCTTTCTAACAAATTGACAACTTGCACTAGTTCTCCGTCTTTCCAGTGGGCTTTGCTCCTGTGCTGCTCTTGTTGATTTGTAAGGGTCCCCTGTACTTTTCAGATATCGCCCTTTTTAGTTCAGGGCGTAACAAACTCTTCTCCCAATCTGTGTTCCATGACCTTTGTCTACTGAGTCTTTGTTGAGCAGAAAACTTAACTTGGGTGTCAACTGAATCATTATCTTTCATTACAGGGTTTCTGCTTTTCAAGACTGTTTAAAACCTCTCTCCTTTCCTTAGTCACAAAGATACACTTCTATTTCATCTTCCATTTGTTCTATGGTTTTATTTTTCTCATCAATTTTAATGTATTCTGTACATGGCAGAAGGTAGACGTACAGTATTACATTTCTTCAAATGGTGAGTCTGTTTTCTCCATGCAGTCTGAGACAACGAGTCTTTTATCACATGTGAATTTCTCTTGTAAAAAGTTACTGTTTTGAGTTCTCTATTTTGTTCCATTGGTTTATTTGCTGTTCTCTTTCTGGTTTTGACCTAATTCCTTAATATTTTATTGCTAAGCAGTACAGGCAATGTGTTTCAAAATGTTTTCCCTGAGGTCTCGTGTATTCAATTTAATTCCTTGTTACTTTACAAGAGAAGCACAATGCTGGACTGTTATTAGTCGCTCTCAGCTTGGTGTGAATGAGAACCAAAATGGCTGGAGGAAGAGACCTCTGGAATTCTCATACCCTGAGAACTGAAGAGCAAATTCTTCTTTTCAAGGTCAGTAGCAAGGAGGAGAGGTATCGGCAAAAAATGATAACTAGAGATCAAGGTTTCCAAACATAAACTGTATTTATTTTCCAGGTCTGCTCTAAGCTGACCCTGCTGGTACTCAGAGCGACTTTCTACCACTCCCACCTCACTCCACCACCCCCTGCCCACAAAGACACCTGCCAACCGTGATCACTTTTCCCTTCTGCCTGAGGACTGATCTTGCCAATTAGTGCGGTCCCCTCCCTTAAAAGAGAAACTCTACCCACGGAAATGTTTCACAATATAAATGAGTATATTTTCCTCTCTAAGAATGTGAAGTAGAGGTCATTCTAAAAGGTGGAAAAAAGGAACATTTATGCAAATTTCCTCCTACTCTGTAATAAACAGAATTTGACATTCATTTCCTGACATACGCCCTTTACCAGCACTTAGGAGTCCCCAGGTTTGTTCCAGCATCTCTTTTCATTAACTATTTTGATGACTAAGTAGGGATAAAGAAGCAGTATTCACACTTGCGTATACTACCAGAGACTCAAAGCATGGATAATTAGTACCAGTGAATATTTTACCTCAGTACTCTAATCAATTTTAGGATCATTAAAATTTCTAACGATCATGTTGCATAGATTACATGTAATGTAAAACATAACTTTTAAAATTCATATTCGGCTAGGCTTAGTGGTACACACCTGTAACCCCAGCACTAGGAAAGTTGGTATAGGAGGATCACCACCAGTTCAAGACCAACCTGGGCTACATAGTCAACTCAAGACCAGCCTGAGCTATAAAGGGAGACCCTGTCTCTAAAAATAAAATAAAATAAAATACTAAGTTAAAAATCCACATTTAAAACTCAGTGTGCCCTAGTGTACTTTTTCCACACCCTCTCAGTCTTTGACGGCAAAACTGGAGGCCCAGCACACTAAATGTTTCCTATATTCTCGTGACCGTGTTGAACTTTTAAAATACGAACAATCAAACATAGTTCCAATTCTCAGATCATTTGGTTTCAAAATATCACAGATGTCAATCCTCAGAAAAGGCCCCTTTTCCATTTTCTTTGTCACTGTCCTAATTCAAAGGTTGTGTGTGTACTATAAATAAGATAAAGTGTCACAAATTTGGGTTAGTTAAACCAGCTATCACTCTGAGTCAGGGGCGAGTCTGAAATGTAGTATGTTTTAAAAGAAGTATAATTCTGTTAATTCTGTTGTTACTTCCAAATTTTTACAACCAAATAAACTAACAATATTTCACTCTATACAACATATATTTTATTACTGTCAGAATATTTTACCAAGAAGAATTTCTTAAACTCTCATTTAATTATTGTTTTTAAAACAGACACCTAGTAGCTAACACTAATTGTGTTACACCAGCCTTAGGATTAACCTGAAGTCTTTTAAAATTAAAGAGAAAATATTGAAAGTACCTAAACCTAAACACTGATTAAAGAACTGGAATTTAAACTGTATTTATACTACAGCTTGGATATCCCTTATCTGAAATATTTGGGACCAGAAATGTTTTGAATTTCAGATATTTTTTGGATTTTAGAATATTTGTCTATTGGGCCAGGGATATCGCTCAGTGGCATAGGTGCCTGCCTGACAAGTGCAAGGTCTTGAGTTCAATTTCCAGTACCAAAAAAAAAAAAAAATAGAGTATTTGTATATACATAATAGGGTACCTTGGGGTTAGGATCCAAATCTAAACACAAAGTTTATTTAAATTTTATATACACCATATATGTACTGAAGATAATTTAATACCACATTTTTATCCATCTGTGCCCTACTATGATCCATGAGGTTAAGTGTGGAATTTCCACTCGTTCATGCTGGCATTCCAAAAGTTTCATACTCTGGAGCATTTCAGCTTTGAGATTTTAGATGAGAGATACTCAGTGTACAGTGCACTAGCAACCTTAAGAGAGAGGAGAGGAGCTGGAGGGAGTGGGGTTGGGGAATTAACTCTAGGAACTAGGTTGAAATACTATTAAAATACTTCACTGGCTATAAAGGGGAGGCGTTACAGTAAACGACACAACCACAGACAAATAGAATCATTTGCTAAAATTCACGGCTTGTGTGTGCCCAGGTCTGACAGAAACTATCCAGGAAGACTTGTCAAGGAAACAGCAGAGACAAAGAGCCGTGCTCAGGGTAACTGATCCTTCACGCATTCATTCATCTAGTCTGACATCAGCTCCTTGAGGCACAGGCTTCGTATGCCTGGCACAGTTCTTAGGGTGTCATCTGCCCTCAAAACATTCTAGCTGTGTGATTTAATTACAAGCACAGATGAATTCACGATGCTTGAAAAAAGTAGCTTTTGACCATTCCATTTATGAAGTTCTTCACAGACAGCCTGGCATTCAGGAGGGATTTAATAATTATTCTCTTAGTTGAAGCGGGAAATAAATATTTTTTTTACAAACTCATCCCTTTACTCCTCTGTCTTTGCAGCAGCTCTCTAATGTACAAATGGCGTGTGGTGTTGTTCCTTTTGCACAGTTAGGAATAGCGAAATTTGTCTGTGACTCACCAAGAGCCAGAGTCATCATGAGAAAGACAGAACTTGAGTTCACTTCTTCTAACTCAACACCCAGCACCATTAACCCCCGCCTGGCTCTTCCCCTTCTAACCCTCTGCAGATCCTCTCATGAAGATCCCTTGGACCCATGCATTTGTGGAACTGCTCACAATCTTTATGAAGTGTCAGGCAAGTGACTGAAACACGGTAAATATTCAAGAAACTTAAGATATTAACCAAAAGCTTGTTTG